CAGTCCCCTTCCTTGGAGGGTTTAAAAGCCCTGTGGATGTGGCCCTTGGGGACAGGGGACGACGATGGCCCCGGCAGAGCTGGCTCCATGGTCTGAGAGGCTTTTCCAGGCTCAGCAATCCTGGGCTGACTCGCAGGATGTGCTCCAGGTTCTGCTGAGCTGCACTGGAGCTGCGCAGGAGCCTTTGGAGAGAGACTCCGTCCACACTGGGGGGTTTGAAGGAAATAAGGGACAGACTGAGCTGAGCCTTGGGGACACCTTTGGCCTTCCCACAGCTGCCACAGGAGCTCTTCTGCTCTGTGTTGTTTTTGGGGAGCCAAGACTCGTGAAGCCATTGCCTCGCCCACTTTGGCTGTGTCATGTCAGGTTTTGTCTCCCTGGAGGCACCTCCGGAGCCACCAGGAGAGGAGCAGCGAGGAGAGGAGTGAGAGTTTGAGGATGAAGCACGTTGAGAGTCTCCTCAGGCCCCAAAGTTCCCGTCCAGGAACGGCCGAGGCCGCAGCGGGGCCGGCTGTCGCTCCGTGGGGGGACACGTCCTTCATCAGCCTCCTCGGTGGCCTGAGCGCTGCCTTTGCCATCTTCCAGATCTGTAGGAGGACTGCTGCTCACTTCTAGCACAAGGAGCTAAATCTTGCTTTCCTGGGTGTGCTTTTGGCACAGATCATCTCGTTATTATTATTATTTCTTCTGAATAATCACCACTGCTGATTTCTTCTGAGTCTTGTTCCCTCCCAGTCCGGTTCTATCAAACCCCACATGGTGATGTTTGCTGGGTCCTTCATCCAGCCATGGCAAGCACCTGGTTTCTGGAGACAAATTTATTGTAAAATCCCTTTTTTTTTAACTTGTTGGCATTTGTGGGGCTTTGCCAGATGTAGTTTTGGGCTCTGTGGGAGATCTTAGCTGAGCATTGGGTCGGGTTGGCCAAGCTCACACTGCACCAAGCGCTCCAGCGTGGGTGGGTCCAGGTGGGATGAACCTGCTGTGGGTCTGGCTGTGCTCACAGGAACCTGGAGAGCTGGGTGGAGGCTGGGAAGGTTTGGAGCTCTCCAGCAGCAAGAATCTCAAACACTGGAGTGGGGCTTTTCCAGGGAATGCTGTGGAGCTGGAGACCAGGGATGTCCCTGGAGGTGTTGCTGTTATATTTAGGGATGGGCTCCTTCCTCACTGGTGCCTGTAAAACCCCAAACTCAATCCTGGAGTTTGTGGGTTTAGGGGTTATTGTGGACTCATTTGTTCTCACTGGTGCACTTGGGTGAATTAAGATTTAAGATTTTTAAGAATTCCAGGCTGGGAAGGGACCTTAAGGAGGGACCTTAAAGCCCATCCAGAGCCACCCCTGCCATGGCAGGGACACCTCCCACCGTCCCAGGCTGCTCCAAACCCTGCTTCAGCCTGGCCTTGGGCACTGCCAGGGATCCAGGTCACAGCTGCCCCGGGAATTCCATCCCAGCCAGGAATTCCTTCCCAATATCCCATCCACCCAGTGGGAGCCATTCCCTGTGTCCTGTCCCTCCATCCCTTGTCCCCAGTCCCTCTCCAGCTCTCCTGGAGCCCCTTCAGGCCCTGCAAGGGGCTCTGAGCTCTCCCTGGAGCTTCTCCTCTCCAGGGGAACATTCCCAGCTCTCCCAGCTGGGATCCAGGGGCAGCCCCTGCTGCTCTGGGCACCTGTGCCAGGGCCTCACCAGGGATAGGAATCATTTCTTGCAGTGCAGAAATCGTTGGGACATCCCAAAGAAGTGATTTTCAGCGTCAGAAATAGGCACGGTGAGGAGAGGAGAAGAGCGCGGACGCGCCGAGCAGCGCAGCGAGGAGCAGGCAGAGAAAATCCCTGATGGCAGAGCTGTGCCTTGGAGGGATGAGTGGAGGATGGCAGATGGGAATGTCCTTCCCTGTCTCCTTGAATCCCCTTTCCCTGGGGAGCGATTCCACGTTGGTGCTGACTCAGCTGGGCCGGAGGAGCCGGCTCGGGGCACAGCAGCTCCAACAAAATGCCTTTCAAAGATCTTTCAGGGCCTTCTTGCTGTGCTTGGGGGAGCAGGCAAACTGAAAAGTCTCTTAAATAATTCCTGCAGCCTAATGAACAAATTTGATTAAGGTTTGGCAGCTTTTCCTAATATTCCCTGTAACTAGGAAATGTTCCCAGTTCTCCGCTCTGAGAGCAGCCTCGTAATTAAACCATGAATGAGAGCAAATGTCCTGATGAGCACAGGACAAATGAGGATTAAACCCCAAACCTGTCCTTCTGTAATCCCTGGGGGATGGTGCAGGGTTGTGTGTTCTGCAATGTCAGAGACAGAGCCTGAATCACGGCCCCTCAAGTAGGGAAGTTCTCACCTCAGCTCCCCTGAATAAATATTTTTTAAAATATTTAAAAATTAAAATAAGAATAATAATAGTGATAAATAATAATAATAATAATAATAATAGTAATATTAACATCATAATCATCATCATCATGGAATGGTTTGGGGGGGTTGGAGGGACCTTAAACCACCCCTTTCATGGCAGGGACACCTCCCACCATCCCAGGCTGCTCCAGCCCGGCCTTGGGCACTGCCAGGGATCCAGGGGCAGCCACAGCTGCTCTGGGAATTCCATCCCAGCCAGGAATTCCTTCCCAGTATCCCACCCATTCCTGCCCTGTGGCAGTGGGAGCCATTTCCTGGGTTCTGTCCTGGTTTTTATTCACCTTCTATTAAGCAACATGAAATAACATAAAATTCACGTTGTCATTGGTTCAGAAACGTGGAAACTGCTGGAGTTTAAATCCTGAACCTTTGGATTTGTGGGATTTGAGGAGCACTCCCTGATCCTGGGAATTCATGGCAGAGGTTTAACGTTGGTGCTGAATTAGCTGAAATAATTAATGACAATTAATGACAGCAGCTTCCACCAGCTGGGAAGTCACCTTGATGCTGGGGATATTTGAGACTGGTAGGATTCCAAATGAAGCCGTTCCCTGGAGCAGGGAATGGGCAGGAGGATGTTTGTCAGGAGAGGGAACTGCTGACAGGGCTGTGGGTGGAACTGACAGGTGAGATGAAGATTCAGGTTTATTGAAATGCAGGGGAGGAATCAGGTAGAGAGGAGCCAATACAGATCAGCTGCAATAAAAACGGCTTTTCCAGGTGAACAGACACAAATCCTCAGAGTTTTACATTAAAACAGCTGTTCAACCTCTACATTTTGCTGGTTTTCCTCCTTTATGTGCCCAGGATGCTCAGCCCAAAGCTGCAAAACTGGAAAGCCAGATGGGTTGGAAGGGGTTAAACCAATTCAGGGGGAAAAAAATGCTTCTCCTGAACTTAGCCTGGAGTCAGAACATAAAAACAACAACCCCAAACTCTGGTGGGAGGGAGGCACGGGGTGATTTTATTTTCCTGAGCCATCCTCTGAGACCTGCTGTCAAGTCTGACAAGCAGGAAAAGGAGGAATAGGAGCAGTGATTTCCAAAAGATGTGAGAACAGGCTGTTTACTGCTGGAATTGTTACCCTGGGCTTGTCACAATCTGTTGCAGGGTTATAAAAAGCAAGGTCCAACACGGATCAGGCTGGGTTTGAATCCCCAGGTGACAGGGGAGATGCAGGAATTGGTGCTGGGCTGTTGGCACAGGATCCTGCCTGAAATTCCAGCGCTCCAGGAGCTGCAGGGAAGGGAGCTCAGGGCAGTGTGTGCAGCTCCACTGTGGCCAAGGAGGGGCTGGCAGAGGTTTCTGGGGAAGCTGCTCCTTGTTTGTTCCCTGCTGCTGCGGGATTTTGGGGATTTGGGGAGAAAACTGCTCCTAAGTGAAGGTTTTGTTGGGCTGGAGGGCGGTGCCGGTGCTGCTGTGGTTGGACACTGCTTCGGTTCTGTGTTTTCAGAGGACACCAGGAGGAGATGCTGCTCTCCTGGCCCTGGGGACAGCCTGGCTGTGTTCACTGTCCCCACCCGGTGTCCCAGCTTAGGTGACAATGGCCAGGATGGGAAATCACAGGGAAATCACAGGGAAATCACAGGGAGAACTGGCACTTCCTGCAGCTGAACCTGAGCTTGGTGCTGTAACGCAGCGTGATGGGATCTTCATGATCCTGCTCTCCTGGGAATCTTGGAATGGTTTGGATGGAAAGAGGCATTAAGGACCATCCCATCCCACCCCTGCCATGGCAGGGACACTTCCACTGTCCCAGCTCCATCCAACCCGGCCTTGGGCACTGCCAGGGATCCAGGGGCAGCCCCAGCTGCTCTGGGAATTCCATCCCAGCCAGGAATTCCTTCCCAATATCCCATCCAAGCAGTGGGAAGCCATTCCCTGTGTCCTGTCCCTCCATCCCTTGTCCCCAGTCCCTCTCCAGCTCTCCTGGAGCCCCTTCAGGCCCTGCAAGGGGCTCTGAGCTCTCCCTGGAGCTTCTACTCTCCAGGGGAACATTCCCAGCTCTCCCAGCCTGGCTCCAGAGGGGCTCCAGCCCTGGAGCTCCAGGTCCCTCCTGAGCTGTTGGATCCAGGGCTGGGAGCTGGGACCTCTCCTTCAGCTGCTGGGAATCCTCCCTGCTCCCCGAGGGCTCCAGCTGTGGATGTGGGCAGGAGAAAGGTTGAGCAGGAGCAGCTGTAACAACAGGGATAGTTGGGAACAGAACCCACTCCAGGAAAAGTGTCAAACCTGGAAGAGGTCAGAACTTCACCATTAGCATTCCAACAATTTATTGTAACAACTTGAAAGATGAGAAGGTTTGCTATGTAAATTAAACCATGGGTTTTCTTCACCTGCTGGCTGGCTTTTCCCACTGGGATAACAGGAGAAACTGGAGGTTAACAGCATCTGGATGAAGCTGTCCTGTCCTGTTGCAGGGAAAATCTTTCTTCCTGCAGGTATTCTGAGGTTTAGGAAATTTTCCACTAACACCAACCTGTGCTGGTCTGTCTCCTGCTGCTGCTCTGTTGAATAACAAGAAACTAAAAAATACATCTTTAAAAACAAATAAAAAAGCATAAACTTACAAATCTCCCTTGGTTCCCCCAGCCAAACCAGAGGAGCCCAAAGCAGCCGAGGCCGTGAGTGGGAACGACATCACAGCTCCTCCCAACAAGGAGCTCCCTCCCAGCCCCGAGAAGAAGACCAAGGTAGGAGCTGCTCCCTGTTGGAACATCATCTCCATGGGTTCCACCTGCTGCCTCTTCTGCTTCCTCAGCTGTGCCAGCCCCAATTCTGTTCTCTGAGCTGCCCTTCCCCTGCAGCAAACCCATCCTAACCAATCCACCAACAGAGCCCGTGCCAAACTCGGACACAAGTGTGCAAGTGACTTCCCTGGCTGGTGCTGCTGATTGCAGCGGTAGTAAACACGTAGTAAAGGTGTAGTAACACCTGTGCTCCGTGAGCTGTTCCCTGTGCTTGCAGGGTCCTGCCCAGGCCCCTCTGGCTTGGCAGCTCTGCTCTCAGGAGCTTGCAGCACTCAGCAGAGTCCCCCTGAGTGTCCCCAGTGCTGCTGGGGGGGCTCTCTGCCCTCTGCCCGTGGAGCTGATCCGCTGAGGACTGGGAGCACAATCCCACGGGCCTGGAATTGGAAATCCACAGCCTGGGGATTGCACAGAGCTCTGCATGTCAGGAGCACCCAATTGCTAATCCAGCTTTACCAGCCATTCCTTCTGGTGCTTTCCATGCTGCTGAAATAATCCTGTTGGTTTGGAATTGAATGGCAGAACCCTCCAGCACTGGGGGCCGCTGCTTTTCGGTCTTTGTTGCACTCAGAAAACAGAAAGCTGCTTTTTTAAATTATTATTATTATTTTTTATTATTATTATTATTCATTATTATTGCTACTATTGCTGCTATTATTATTATTATTATTATTATTATTATTATTATTATTATTATTATTAATTGCTATTCTTATGATTTGTTTCCTTTAAAAATATCACTTTTCTGTTGTTGCAGCTCAATGTTTTGGTTTACAATGCGCTATTTTTTGTTGTATTTCTTTGGTTTTATCCTGGATTTTGCTTTTTGGCCCAACCCTAAAGCCTGCTGCATCCAGCTCCGCTCCAAAGCCGGCAGCAGCGAAGGCCAAGCCCTCGGCCACCACCAGCCCCAAGCGGCCGAGCTCGGCCACCCCGGGCACAAACAAAAAGCCCACGAGCCCAACTGCAGGTCCTACTCCAGGCACCACTGCCAAACGCCCCGGCACCAGCAGCACCCGTCCCTCCACCTTAACTCCAAAAGAGACTAAACCAAAGGTAAGAAGTGCCTGGCTCTGGGGAGCAGCCGGGGCTCGCTGGCAGGGGACGTTCCTGTGCTCCCGTGTTCCTGTGCTCGGATCAGAAATGGGATTTGGTGTGTTGGGAGCAGCTTCCCAGGGGTGGCATCGTGTCCCTGGCACTGAATTGTGTCACCACGGGGGAGAATGGAAGCTGAGTGTGGTGCTGGGATTGTCCTGGTGAGCTGCTGTGAATCAGGGATCCCAGGCTGGGTTGGGCTGGAATGGAACTTCAATCCCATCCCATTCCAGCCCTTCCATGGCCAGGGACACCTCCCACTGTCCCAGGCTGCTCCCAGCCCCATCCAGCCTGGCCTGGGACACTGCCAGGGATCCAGATGGTGTGGGAATTCCATCCCAGACCCTCCCCCCCCTCCCATCCAGGAATTCCTTCTGTATACAACTCCTAAATCCAGACAAGAACATGGGAATCCTGATTGGAGACCTTTGATATGAATAGTGAAGAAAAACAAATCCATGTGAACACTCCACATTTCCCACCTCTGGTCATTTTATGATGTCTGGTCACTGCAGAACTGCACAGAGAGGACTGATGACACTCAGAAAACGTTGGGGATTTGTAATTCCTCAAAAGAGAGGGTTCATGGACAGTGTTGCATGTCCAGACAAGCAGGGAATCCCCGTGTGTTAGGAATGGGAGGTGTCCCTTGAATGTTCCCTGTGTTGTCATCTTACAGAGCAGAGGACTTCAACTTTAAAAGGTAACATCAAAACCTATTTCAGAAGCTTTCACTGATGGCTGAGCACCACCACTGCTGCTGAATTAAGCTCAAATTATTGCATTTGAGTGTCTTTTAGAACTAACTAAAAATAACAGAAGGCAAAATGAAAGCCCCAGTGTAAATGTGCACTTTTCTCTGAGCTGCTGACTTTGGTTTGCTTCAAGTTTTTGTATCATTCTGAATCCCTTTTTGATAAAATAATATTTATTCCCTTGCATTAATTCAGTGTTTTCATACTTCAGGCAGTTGACAAACAAGTGCCTGACCAGGGCCAGCAGGAAAAAGTTTTCCCAGTGAGGGATGAGCCACAGACACCTGATTTTCCTGTGCCCAGTGTTTTAACAAATTCCAGCTTAGGGAGCCTTCCTGCTCCTGGGGGATGGGAATCTCTCCCAGGAGCATTGCTGGTGTTCTGATGGTTCCATTTTATCCAGAAATCAAAACCTCTTTCCCAGCTCCACACATCAAAGCTGAGCCAGTCCTGGGTGGGACCCGCTCCTCGGCGGGGTCCGTGCTCCGTGTCCTCCTCCACACCATCACGTCTTCATTATATTTTAATTGCATTATAATTTCAGCAGTGCCAGGCTTAATTAAGTGTTGAAGAGTTCCAGCAGCGATTTCTGTTCATTTCAGCCTGATTTGGCCCCTCCCGTTCCCGCTGAGCGCGGCGCTTCGCCGGTGACATCCCGGCCATTCTGACGCCTCCTGCTCCCTTTCAGGTCGCGGATGCGAAGCCCGCGGAGAAGAGAACTTCCCTCTCCAAGCCTCCATCCTCCACCACTCCTAAAACTCCTTCCAGGAGCTCCTCTGCTGCTCCCCGGACCACGGCACCGTCGCCGGTGACGGCAGCGGCTGCTGCCAAAACCACGGCGGCGACTCCTCCCAAGAGGCCGACGTGTGAGTGCTCCCTCCTTTTCCCTCCTTTTCCCTTGGGAATCTGTCCTTCAGCAGCACCAGGTGCCCTCCACAGCTCCCTGGCAGGAGGGATATTCCAGATTTCTTCATGGAAAAGGCTGCCCAGGGCAGTGTGCTCAAAAGCTGCTCCGTCGTTGTCTGGATTCTGACAGTAGCTCAAACGTTTTTCTCTCCAGGGCTTCCTCTTCCAAACTCCCTTCAGGGCCAACCTGGATCAGCTCTGTGTGATCCAGGGTTAATTCAATTACTGGACACACTTGATTTAAGAGTGGGCATTCTATCCCCTCTGTATTTTGCCATAGGAACAGAATAAATATTAAATAAAAGCTTAGGAAAGCAAACCTTGGGAGGAGGACTTGAGATGCCTGAACTGGTGTGTGAAATCCAAAAAGAGTTGAGCAGAAGTGGAGGGTTTGTAGTAGAGGAGGAAGAATTTGGAGCTGAAATCACATCAGCTTCATCCAAAAACTGTCCCTTGCTGCTAAAGAGGGAACTTCCCATGAGTTCAACAGGAGAGCTGAGCAGTGTTTTAGATAAACTCACACTGCTATCACTCCTTTTAATGGAGCTCGAGAGATTTAACATCAGATAAAATTATAGTTACTTCTTCTCAGGTCATTTCATATGACTGGGCTTCAGTGACAAAACTCGTCAATAAAGGTGTAAAATGACACAGACTGCTTTGAATCCCAGAGCATGGATTCACATCCCAGCTTTCCCAAAAGAATTGTCGTGTTTTGGCTGTGTTGGGATGGATTCAGCCCCATGGACATCCCAGACTTTATGCTGTGGGGTAAAATCTAATTAATCAAGTGTAGAGAAGGTGTTGCACATTCCAAGTGCCACGTATCCTGTCTGATCCCATGGCCATCCTGCTAAAACTCATTTTGTGTGGTCTTGGAGGCAAACTGGAGCAGGATCTGTTCTAATGAGCTGGGCTCGTTCCTCCTGCCCAAACCAAGCCACGAACAAAGGAGCGTTTGCTGCTGAAAAGAGACGGAGGCAGCGATGCAGAGCTCAGGGAGGTTGTTCCAAGAGGCAGGATGTGCAGAGGAGGAGCCTCGTGGGACCCTGGCAGGGCCCAGGGGGTGAGGGAGGATGAGGTCAGCTGGAGGGACTCCGTGGGGAGGCTGAGCCGCCCTGGCTGGGTCTGGAAATGCACAGGGGCAGGAATGGGAAGGGCAGGGGGTCTTGTTCTGGGTGAGGTGGAAGCTGGGGTGGGACAGAGGGCAGATGGTGCCCTGGGGCCTCAAGGGAACCACAGTGAGCCAAATGCTCAGGGTTTGGTTTGGCTTAGTTTGGTTTGGGTTGATTTGATTTGGTTTTGTTTGGTTGGGTTTGGTTGGGTTTGGTTTGGTTTAGTTGGGTTTGGTTGGGTTGGGTTGGGTTTGGTTTGGTTTGGTTTGGTTGGGTTTGGTTTGGTTGGGTTGGGTTGGGTTGGGTTTGGTTTGGTTGGTTTGGTTTGGTTTGGTTGGGTTGTGTTTGGTTTGATTTGGTTGGGTTTGGGTCTGGGTTTGGGTTTGGGTTTGGGTTTGGTTGGGTTTGGTTTGGTTGGGTTGGGTTTGGTTGGGTTTGGTTTGGTTGGGTTGAGTTGGGTTTGGTTGGGTTTGGTTTGGTTTGATTTGGTTTGGTTTGGTTTGGTTGGGTTTGGTTGGGTTTGGTTTGGTTTGGGTGAGATGTGGGTGGGGACACCTGGAGCTCTTGGGGTCACAGCTCTGATCAGCTCCTTTAGAGGAGGGGACAGCCTTGGGGTCGGGCTCTGCTGCCAGGGAACAGGGACAGGAGGAGAGGGAACGGCCTCAGGCTGGGCCAGGGAGGCTCAGGGTGGAAATTGGGGAAATTCCTCATGAATTGGTGAGGCCATGGAATGGGCTGTGCAGGCCTCAGGTGAATATTCCTCATGGGAATTCCTTCAGGGGAAATTCCTCATGGGAAGGGTGGTGAGGCCCATTGTGCAGGGCCGTGCTGGAGCCCCATCCCCGGAGAGATTTCGGAGCCATGTGGATGTGGCACCTGGGGACAGGGCCAGTGCTGGGGAGCAGCTGCACTGGATGTGGGACTTTTCCAAGCACAGTGATTCCATGGATTTAGTTTCTCATGACAGTGTTGAGCCAGAGAATAAGTTTGGGGTGGTGTTTGTGGCTGAAGATGCTCTTTCAGGACAGCTGCTGGTGCTGTGCCTTGAGCTGCCACCAAGCTTCAGTCATTGTCTCACATGAAATGTGTGTGTAAAGGCCAGGTTTGACACTCACAGTTTCACTTCCTCACGTATTTTCAGGTCAGTCATTTTCTCTGCTAAAGGAGAGCCGTGGGTTATGTGGGACTTGATATTTTGATTTTTAATTCTATTTTTTCATTAGTTTTTGTGTCCCCCTCCCTGTGGAAATGACTTTAATGTTTGTACAAGACCACGCTCAGCCCTTCAGATCAGGCACAGATCAAAGCCTGTCACCACAGACCATTGTCCCAGGGGTTTTGTCTGGGTTTTCAGCACCTCACGTTCATACAGACACAAGTGTTCAGCATTTGGCTCCCCACTGGCACCAGCAGACATAACATCTCTCTGTATATTAATGTAACATAATATTCCTTTGCCTTTTACACAACCCTAAGTCTGTTCTGTCCCTGCAGCTTCCCCAATTAAAGCTGTGGTCTCAAGGAATGAAATTAGGTTGGTTTGCCAGCCCCTTGTTTGAAGTGTTTGCTATTAATTATGTATCCATCCTTTAGGCCTTATTAAATTATCCACATGGGTTTCACCTCATTAGCTGGAATCTTATCTGGGGTGTTTTATTGAGTGCTTTTAGCAAAGTCGGGGTGGAATGATCCAGACTAACTTGGCCTGTAGTTATCTGCCTCTTCCCCTTGGTCTTTTTGGTATTGATACTCCATAAAGTACCCTGACAGCTGCTGGAGTGTATCTAAAAATCTGAAACTTAATGGAAATTAAATACTGAAAAATGAGGGTTTTCATAATTTCTAACTTGGGTCTTTTCCATTTATTATTTCTTTTCAACGTTGCCTTCCTTTGGCTGTTGAAATTAAGCAGATTTTACCCAAATTTGCCCATCACTGATAATAAAACCCCTACAATTTCATGATCAAAGATAGTTGATAAATAAATAAAGTTCCATTTCTATTTTTCAGTCCGTGGTTTTTGCCTTGATCAATTTGGTGTTTGGTTTTCTCCTGCTTGGAGAGGCATGGCTGCATCATCCCTGGTTCAGTGTCCTCTGTGCAGTGTAATCAGGTCATGATCGTTGGGCTTTGCCCAAAGGCAGCTCAGTTTAGGGATTGATTTTTGGGTTTATACAATTAGAATAGGAGCCAAAATATGTGCAGTAACTCCTGTGCAAGAAAATTGGCACAGGGTAGGACTGGTCTGGCAATGAGAGCAAGGTTGGGCAAGGACAAACGAGGGGTTGATTTTGTTACTTTTTAAAGAAAGGATATGTTTTGGGTTTTGGGTTTTTTTGCTCAGTTGGGTTTTTTTTTTAAGAAATGAAGGTGTGGCAGGATTAAAACACTCCCAGTGAGTGCTGTCAGAGTCAGGAAGTTAATGTGAGGAGAAACAAAATGCAAGCCATCCCCAGGTGCGGGCTGTCACCGAACGAGGATCCTTTGACATGAATTGGTGCTTTGGCTGCAAAATGGGAGAGGGTTTTGGTGCCAGCAGGAGCTCCCCAGGCAGGTACTCACACAGAGCAGTTAATCCCTGGGCTGATTCCAGGCCTGGAATGCTGCAGGGATCCTCCTCTGACCGCTGTGTTTGTGTTGGCAGCGATCAAGACGGACGCGAAGCCGGCAGATGCCAAGAAAACGCCAGCGAAGTCTCCCTCAGGTAACTGCTCGCTTTCCATCTCACCGTGGAAATCCTTCCTGGGAAAACCCTGGAAAAGCAACCCCCAGCACTGCTGAGGCCACCCCTGACCGTGTCCCCAAGTGCCACATCCACAGGGATTTTAAATCCCTCCAGCAATGGGGACTCCACCCTGAGCTGGGCCAGGCCTGGAGAGCCTTTCTGGGGAAGGAATATTCCCAATTTCCAGCTGGGGCTGGGGTCACTCAGGGGGGTCCCTGAACATCTCCGGGAATGTCCCAGGCCGGGCTCGGAGCAGCCTGGCCCGGTGGAAGGTGTGGCTGCCATGGCAGGGCTGGGATGGGGCAGGGTGTGTCTGAGGCAGTCCGTGTTACAGGCCCTGATCCCCATTTTCCCCCCTTTCCTCCCTCATTCCCTGATCCCCCAGCAGATTCCAGCCGCCCCAAGAGCGCTCCTGGCAGTGCCGGTGCCACCAAGAGCAGCGCCACCACTCCTTCCACCGCGGCCTCCAGCGCTCCCGGCGCGGCCGGCGGGCGCCCCAAGCCCAAAACCGCCGCCCCCAAAGCCGCCGCGGCCTCCACGGTGTCGGCGGACGCCAAGAAAACCACGGCCAAGGCCTCGGGCAAGGTCAGCGCCCCCAGAGCGGCCCGGCCGGCCAGCAGCGCCTCGGCCCCCGACCTGAAGAACGTCCGCTCCAAGATCGGCTCCACGGACAACATCAAACACCAGCCCGGGGGAGGGAAGGTGAGCCCCGGCCTGCGCCGCGCTGAGCTCCGCTGGGCCGGGCCCTCAGCGCTCGCTCCGCCCAGCTCCTCGCTGGCTTCCTGCTTGGGATCCCCTGCTCATGGAATTCCTGCAGGGATCCAGAGATCCTCGCTGGCTTCCTGCTTGGGATCCCCTGCTCATGGAATTCCTGCAGGGATCCAGAGATCCTTGCTGGGTTCCTGCTTGGGATCCCCTTCTCATGGAATTCCTGCAGGGATCCAGAGCCCCTCGCTGGCTTCCTGCTTGGGATCCCCTGCTCATGGAATTCCTGCAGGGATCCAGAGATCCTCGCTGGCTTCCTGCTTGGGATCCCCTTCTCATGGAATTCCTGCAGGGATCCAGAGCTCCTCGCTGGGTTCCTGCTTGGGATCCCCCACTCCTGGAATTCCTGCATGGATCTTGCCAGGTTCCTGCTTGGGATCCCCCAGAGTCACCCCCAGCTCCTGGAATTCCTGCAGGGATACAGAGCCCCTCGCTGGGTTCCTGCTTGGGATCCCCTGCTCATGGAATTCCTGCATGGATCCAGAGCTCTTGCCAGGTTCCTGCTTGGGATCCCCCAGAGTCACCCCCAGCTCCTGGAATTCCTGCAGGGATCCCTCACCCAGTTCCTGTTTGGGATCCCCCGTTCCTGGAACTCCTGCAGGGATCCAGAGCTCCGCTGCTGCTCTCCTGTCCCTGGGCCTGCCTCAGAACCACCTTGTCAGTGTTCCAACCCCTGCCTTTGAGTCGAGCTGAGGCTGCTGAGTGGGACAGAAGGTGGAATAGTGTGCTAGGATGAGGGAAATCCGGGTTTGGGAGCAAGGACCACAGCACCTTTCCCATGCCCAAGTCGTCAGGCCCGAAGCTGACACAGAACGAGTCCCTTGGGAGCGCCCGTGGTGGGCACAGGGAGAGGGTAGTGCTGCAAAACCATCACCAGAGATAAAACCTGGGGCTCTCACTGCCTCCTGGTGCTCTTGGATGGCACTTCCACCCTCAGCACGTCCCTCCCACGGGAAGGAGAAGGGTGTCATGGTGTCAGGACAAGCCTGCAGCCCCTGCCGAGCGCTGAGCAGCCAGAGCTTGTGGTTCCTCAACTCTTCCCTCTTCTCTCTGCTGCATAACCCAGGCCAGAGCTCTTAACCTGCTGCCAAAGGAGCACATTCCATGCTGGGAGCCTTAATCTGCTCTCAGGCACATTAAAGTCAAGGGCACTCCTGGCTGGCTGCTGTGTGTCCCAGACAGCATCGATACAGCATGGATTTATCCTCAGAGTCAGCAGCACAGCCCTCCTCCTGTCAGCTCAAGGGATTCAGTTTGCATTGAATTGCACTGCCCTTCATTTTCTAAATATTCTCATCGAGTTACTAAATCCTAACAATTGCCTTGTTAAGCAAATTGTGCTTTTTGTAGTCTAATTAACACGGAGCTGTTTTTTTAGAGTCTGAGAATGTTGTAGTGTTGGGGTTTTTTTTGTTCACTGGTCTGTAGATTAGTGAAATACAAGATTTATGCTGACCCCCCCCTAAAAGAAATGCAGGTTCTGCTGCAGTTCTGCATCTAAACTGTGAAAACAATGAATATTATCAACTCTGGTTACTGAATTTTTATAAAACCTGTAAATTTTCCTTCAATTTTCGGCTCAGCTGGACTCTGTAGGTGCACCTGCCTTTTGGTAGGTAAAAATGAAATGTGCTGTTGAGCTCAGAGGCTGAGTGCAGCGTGGCTGGGTGGGAATGTGAGCTGGGAGCACGGGGTGTGTGTCCAGCAGAGCTCCCAGAGCAGCCCTGGCTGTCTCTGCCTCCCCAGTCTGCACCAGGTCCTCCATGTGAAGGAGGTGCTGTTGGGTTTCCCAAGGATTTGGTTGGATTTTTTTGGCAGGATCAGTGTCCTGGGGTCACGTGGATCCCGAGGAAGAGCACCAGGAGCTTTTTGAGAACTGAATCCTTGGTGTGTGGCCCCAGGGCTGGGCGATGCTGTGCCCTTGGTGTCACCGGTCCTGGGCGTGGGATTATCCTTGGCCTGGGAATTAGAGCATGCAAGGAGTTCTCCTGGGTCACCTGCTGCAGCAGGTTTATCCCTGTTCCAGTGCCCACACTTCTGCTTTTGCTGGTTGAAACCATCCCTTTGTCTCCATCCAGGGGAAAATAGAGAAAAGGCCAGAGCCAGCCGCCGCCGCGCCCAGGTCTGAGCCCAGCACGGGCACTAAAGTGGCTCCTAAAGCAGCCTCAGCAAAAGAGGGGGTCCCCAAACAGCCCAATGGGAAAGTGAGTTCCTTTCAGACTTTTCTCTGGGGGAGATGAAGGAAAACGTTTCCATGTTGAGTCACTGTCCCTCCTCTCCAGCTGTCCTCCTCTCTCCTGTCAGTGGCACTGTTCCTTGCACAGACACTTCCCGTTCTCTCTCGGGCACCCTGAGATGTTCCCAGGGAAACTCCTCCAGGGAGGGAGGAACCTCTTCCCCCCCTGCTGGAAAGGTCTCCAGAGCAGAGTCCTCCTGTTTCACTTCCAGGTTAATACAGCCTTAACTCTGAGCCTGAGGGTTTCCCTCAAAGCCAGCTCTTCACACACACAGCCAGTTTGTAACGAGGAGAGAGGCTGAGCTCACAGCTGCTTCCTTTAGGATTGCAGAATACGAAGGAATTCACATCTTTCCTGCAATATTCCCAACCCAGCTGTACCAAAACTCTGGAACTCCAAGCCTGAGGCCATCACCATTTGGTTACTCCAAAGTACAAGTGGATGGCGTGAGGTGGGAGTGCCAGAGTTTAATTCCAGTAGGATCAGGCAGGAATGGTCAGGAATGAAGAGGATTTGTAGCTCTAGGGAGTCAGTGAACCACCTCACCCACCATGGCACAGTTGTGTTCCCACAGCCCTTCTGACCTGGCTGAGGAGCTCTGGGGAGCTGCCCAAGAGTTGGGTGATCCCTGTTGTGCTCCAGGTTTGGCACCTCCTCTTGCACAAGTCAGGATGCAGCTGGGGCCGCTCGTGCTGGGGTGAATAACTGCAGGCTAAGCCGTGTTGTTACTAACCTGTGTAAACCCTGTGTAAACACTGCTGTCTAACCCAGCTACTGCTGGGAGTAGAGCTCACCTCAGCCACTCCTCTTGTATTTAAAAACCACAGAATCATTGAGGCTGGAGAAGCCCTTTGAGATCATGAAGTCCAGCACTGCTGAGCCACCGCCAGCCACATTCTCACACCCTTAAATCTGAGTCAGTGGGAAGGAGAAACAATTCCATTAACCTAAAACTCACCTGACATCGTCCCACTGAAGGGGTCCCACCTTCAATAGAAAGGTGGGACACCCTCAGGGGTGGGACAGACCCCACTTTCAGCAGAAGGATGTTTCTCAGACCCAGCTTTGCTGCCCAGGACTTTGGAGGGATGTTGTCCAGGGCTGGAGCCAGTCCAGGTGTGGGCATGGAGCAGCTCCCAGCACGGTGGCTCCGAGGGCTGGCTCTCCCTGCTCCAGGGAGCTCTCCAGGGCGGTCCCATCCCGCTCCCCGGTGCTCCCAGCCTGGCACTAACACTGTCTGTGCAGCTCCTGTCCTCCACTTCTGTCACTGTCCCTCTCTCGATGGCTTCCCCCGGCACTGGGCGAGTCCCACAGGGTCCCTGCTGCTCCAGCACCCCTCAGCCTCCTGCTGAATGACAACTCTAACCAGTCCTCTTCCCTTGTGTTGTTTTCCGTTCTGTAACGTTCCAGGTCCAGATAGTCTCCAAAAAAGCGAACTACAGCCATGTTCAGTCCAAGTGTGGTTCCAAGGACAATATTAAGCATGTCCCTGGAGGTGGGAATGTAAGTATGGGTCTGGGCAAGCTGTCTGTCTGCTAACTCCTTCTCTGCTGCTGTGTTGGGTGTGCCAGCCTCAGGAGCGCTCTGCTGGAGGCAGAGGCTGTGGCAGAGCCCCAGGGCTCCTGGAGACAGCTCAGCCTGGAGGATTATTGCATTTTCTCTCGGGCTGCCAGGCTGAACTGTGTGTTTTGTTTCAGTGTACAGCTACACCTGGGCTGTTCCTGCTTTCTGGGCTGGCCACGGCCAAACTCAGACATGGCTGAGCCTGGGCTGGGAGTTCCCTCAGCACCTCCTCACTCCCTGAGCTCCCCTGGAACCTGGATCTCCCACAGCAGATGAATTATGGCCTGGAAGGGCCTGTTACTCTCCCCTGGCTCACAGGGCCAGCTGGAGCCACACTCATTCACTTCTTGTTTCATAAAAGGGACTTTGGAGCAGGCAAAGGCTCTGGGATTTAACCTTTGAGCTGTGATTAATTTCTAAATTTAAAGGCTGCTGGTATCTCTGGCAGCAGGGCTGAGCTCATTAAAATAGAACGTTAATCTGGTGGTGTCTGCAGCTTGGTTTGGGGTGTTGGATGCTCCAAGTGCCTGCCAGGCAGCCCAGGTTAACCATGCAGACCCTGACAGAGCTGGGCTGCTGGCACAGGACGGGCTCAGGAATGCAAACTTCAGGTGCTTTCAAAGACACTGAAGGACTTGAGCCCAAGGAAGTTTTTTGCAGAGGTGTCTAAATGTCCTGGGTTCCTGAGGAGTGATGTCCAGCTGTCACATCTGAGGTGCCCAGGGTGTCTGGTCAGAGTCTGGTGCAGTGACACAAACCCTGCTCAGGACCTGCCTGTGGAGCCAGCTTGGGGCCACTTTTCCTGGGAAAAGTTGGCTGAACCTCTACATGACTGATCTTTCCACAAATCCTCACAAAGTGGCAACCAAATGTGGGTCCTTAACAATTAATTCCCTCCAGGTTGCTTGCCAAGGTGGCCACAGTCAGAAGCCACTGATCCCAGGCTGCCTTCCCACATCCCTGCTGGGGGTTTGGGATTTGTGCTTCTCACTTGCTGTTTCCATGATTTACACCGTGTCTACGGGAGTGTTTCCATGGAAATGCTCCCACAGGATATCTGGGAATGCTGCTGTCGAGCCCTGCTGTCCGTGGGGAGCCCTCAGGGTGTTTTTGAGCCCAGTTTCTATTCCTGCTGCCTGTTCCACCTGGTCCTGTCCCCCAGCCGGTGGCAGAAGTGTCCTTGGCCACCCTGGTGACAGTTTCTGGAGCATTTCCCTGTCCATGCACTCCAAGGAGCTGTATTTTATAAACCACTTCAATTTTGCCATCTTTACATTGTTCAGCCTTTCAGGAGTCTCACAGGTGCCTTTCCTGTTCTTTCAGGCTACCAGAAATGGGGCTGAAATGTGGGGGAATCTTTCCTTGCCTAATTAACTGTGTCAGTGAAGTGTCCTTCTGCTCCTGAATCACCATCCTGTCCTTCCCTCTGCAGTGCCAGGCATTCCCAGCCCTGGGGACAGCTGTGTCCCTGCTTTCTTCTTCTCTTCTCCTCTCCCACACTCCCCTCTCACCACTGTGGTGTTACTCCTTGCTCAACTACTTAAGCAGCTCTTTATTCTGCATTTTCCGAGCCAAAAGCTCATTTCCAGGTTCCAAATGCTCCCAGAGCAGCTCCAGGCAAGCATTCCCAGCCCTCCAGCACAGGCAGTGTGGATGTGACTGCTCAGTGTCTTCCCAAAAAAATTCATTTTCTTTAATTCATTTTTGTGTCTTCCCCACTCCCTTTGGAGCACTGTGATTTTAGCGACCTCCTCCAAGGTGTTTTCTTGTTCAAGTAGTTGTGATGATCCCTTCTGGTAGAATTCCCAGTGTTTGATCCCAGCTGGAGCTGTCTGGAAGGTCTCTTCTGGTCTGTGCCTTCAGCTTTTAGGGATCCTAAAGGAGTGTTGTGGTTTGGAAAAGATTCCTGGTGGAGCTGTAGGGCTGCTGTGGTGGAAGTGATGGACATGGAATGGTTTGGGTTGGAAAAGACCTTAAAGATCATTGAGTGCCCCTGGCTGCTGCAAGGGCTGTCCAGCCTGGCCTGGGACACTCCCAGGGCTGGGCACTGTCCTGCCAGCCCACCCAAGTGGCTCCAGGCTGGCTCTCTGGTCAGGTGCCCACTGTGCCCTCTATCCAAGGAGATCATTTCTTCTCCATGCCAAGATTCCCCAGAAGCAGGAGCTGTGGTTCCTGCTCACGTTACACTCACCAGAAAGACACGGAGTTCAGTTTCCTGGGGAAAAGGTTTTGATGGGTTTTTGTTTAGCATTTCCCACTCTCAGAACCACTGAGGTTGGAAAAGATCTCCAAGACCATCAAGTCCAACCTTTGACCAAGCTTTCTGTTCAGAGAAAGCAGCAGAGGTGGAATTTACAAAGTGCAGTGTTGTGTTGGTGAAGGTCTGAAGGGAATTTGGAGTGTCCACATGTTTCCCTGTCCTGTGGCTTGGCTGGATTGGGAAGTGCTCAGGGACAGAAAAACCAGCAAGAGTTGTGGCTGACAGTCCCCAGCTGAGCCTCTGCCAAACTCCCAAAGTTTATTTCTGGCACACAGTCTGTGTTTGGCTCTCTGAGTGCAAGCCCAGCTCCTGTCTCCTACACAGACCCTTCCATGCAGGGGGACAGTCGGGATCTCAGGGCAGGATCTCAGGGCAGGAGTCCCAGCTCTAACAAGCAGCAGCATTTCGAAGTGCATCCTGTGAAATAAATTGAATCTCAGGTCTGAGCAAGCAAGGACTGGTGATTAAAGCTGTAGGAACTTTACTCACAACCCCTGAGAAAATCCAGTCAGGGTCTGTGATTGACCTTTTGAGGGTGTCCCAGGGCTGGGGACGTGGCAGGAGCTGTGCTGTCCTGGGACTCCTCCCTGTGCACACAGAGCAGGAGGATGGATCCCTGCTTCCCTAGGAAGAGTTTTGCCAAATTATCCTGAGAACTCTCAGGAAACTCCCAGAGTAGCTGGTGGGTCAAGGAGTTCTTCTCATATCCAAAAGGAAATCCTTGGGTTTCCTCTGTGAGCTGACCTGGAGCAGAACTTCTGAGCCTGCAGGTTCCAGCTGGTGGCTGCTCTCAGCACTGTCCTGGAGAGGGATGGATTCCTGGAGCAGTGCATTCCATCTGGGCACCGTCATCCCTCAGAGAATTCCAGAATGGTTTGGGTGGAGGGACCTCAAGGATCATCCAGTGCCAGCCCTGCCATGGCAGGGGCAGCCCCAGCTGCTCTGGGAATTCCATCCCAGCCAGGAATTCCTTCCCAATATCCCATCCAAGCAGTGGGAGCCATTCCCTGTGTCCTGTCCCTCCATCCCTTGTCCCCAGTCCCTCTCCAGCTCTCCTGGAGCCCCTTCAGGCCCTGCAAGGGGCTCTGAGGTGTCCCTGGAGCTTCTCCAGGCTGTCCATGGTGGTGGGGAGCAGAGGCTGGGGCTGGTGGGGGGCTCTGGGAGGTGTCCCCAGGCTGGGCAGGAGCCGTGTGGGGACCGTGGCTCCAGGCGAGCTTGGTTTTTATTGTCGCTGTTCCCAGAGCTGCTGGATCCTGAGCTGGGCCCTGAGCTTGGCCTCTTGCTGCTTCTGTCCCTCTGTCCTGCTGCCTGGGCTCTGTCCCTCGCTGCCCCTGGCTCACAGCTGGGAGCACTCCAGAAGGATTCCTGGGGATCTGCAGGAGGAATAACGAGGGAGAGCAGGGCACAGGCTCACCCAGCACAGCGTGGTTGGTGCCTGAGCTGCCCTTGGACCTCCAGAGCCTGCAAAGCTTCCTCTGTGCTCAGCTGCTGCTTTTTGTCCCTCCAGGTGCAGATCCAGAACAAGAAAGTCGACCTTTCCAAAGTGTCCTCCAAGTGTGGATCTAAAGCAAATATCAAGCATAAGCCAGGTAGGAATTTTGCCATTTCCTCATTTGTCTGTAAGTTTTGTCCCTGAAACACAGTCCTGGATTGGGACTGGAATAGTTTAAGGGGCTCGTTGCTTTCAAGGGGTGTCCCCAGTGCTTCTGGGCATTCCTAAAAATGCTTCTTCCACAATTCCTGGTGTTTTCATGAGCAGCAATTAGGAGATGTGGGATGTCCTCTTGCCTGTGAAGATAACCTCCAGCTTTAACTCATTTCTGCTTTTCCTGTTCATTAAGAAGGAAAATGTGGCTGCTTCCCATGATCATTCCAGGAAGCTTCATCCATGCTCACAGGGGGCTTTGGGGCACTCAGAACATCCCAGACTGTTCATGGAACATGGAAGGATAAAGGAAATTCCCTCCAGTTCTTCAGAGCTCATACAAAGCTCCTTTTAGCTTTGAGTCCAGCTCCTGCCTCCCATGAAACCCTTCTGGCCCTTGGGTGAATTTTCTGGTTTGAGTGTGGGAATTGGCTGCTCCCTGCTGAGAATTCTGCCTGAATTCCTGGGGATCTCAGGTTTCTCCCCAGGCTGTGCCCAGCCCGAGGTGCTGGAGGCCCCTGGCTCAGCCCGAAGGAGTTCAGCACTCAGTTCAGTGCCCTCAGCTGGCCCCCGGTGCCTGGGGACGCTTTTCCACCCGGGAACGTGCAGAGTTCACTGTCCAGGGCTGGGAACCAGCGGCACAGGCTGCTCTTTGTCCCTTCCCTGCTCTGGGAGTCCCCTGCAGCCTCCCCAGCCCCAGGCTGGAGCAGGTCCCTCCTGCAGGAGCCCCTGGCTCCGGTGGCGCGTTGGGAACGCGGTGCCACGGCCGCGACCTCGGCCAGTAACGAGCTGGGAGCGACAATCGCTGCCCTTGTCCGGCCCGATGGAAGCACAGCCAGCAGCTCCCACAGGGATCAGCTGCTTCTGTTGGACCAAACCCCTCGCTTTCCACCCTCAGCCGTGCCAGGCTCGCAGAGGGGGGCTCAGGGTTGAACGATGTCGCTGGGAGGCAAAGCTGTGCTTAGCAAGATCTCAGCTGTCGGAGAAGCTGCTGGGACATGGACTGACTGCAGCCAGGGAAAGGTGGCCCTGTCCGTGCAGGAATCATCCTTAGGGATCCCAGTCTGTGGGAACAATTCCCCCGTGAGGAAAGGCTGAGAGAGTTGGGATTGTTCACCTGGAGAAGGTTTTGGGGTGACCTCACTGTGGCCTTGCAGGACCTGAAGGGAGCCATGAAAGATGGGGAGCGATGATTTCCAAAGGCCTGGAGTGCCAGGATGAGAGGGTATAGCTTCCCACTGCCAGAAGGCAGGGATGGATGGGATTTGGGGCAGGAATTGTTCCCTGGCAGGGTGGGCAGGCCCTGGCACAGGGTGCCCAGAGCAGCTGGGGCTGCCCCTGGATCCCTGGCAGTGCCCAAGGCCAGGCTGGACACTGGGGCTGGAGCACCTGGGACAGAGGGAAGTGTCCCTGCCATAACAGGGGATGGCACTGGATGATCCTTAAGGTCCCTCCCAACCCATTCCAGGATTCTGGATTCTGTGATTAATGGGAACTGCAGCAATCTGGAATCTTTCCCATTCTGGAAAATTCTTGCTAAAATTTCTGCAGCTCTTTTTCTGACCTCCAGCTCCTCCTGAGGCTGCAGTGCCAGGGAGGAGCTGTCCAGGCAGGCAGCGGTGCCCGGGGTGCCAGGCTGGAGCAGGGGAAGGATAAGGAGGGCAGGAAGGCAGTGAGACAGGAGCAGGAGCTGTCCTGGCACTGCTGCATGCACAGATGGCTGAGCTGGGGAGGCCTGGGCAGGGACAGGGACACGGGGACAGCAACAGCGGGACTCAGCCTTGGAATGGCACCAGTGAGGGGTGTGGGGGTGGCATTTCACAGCTCTGCTGGGGGAGGCAGCCTCAGGAGCAGATCAGGGGGATCTGTTCAGCCTGTCTGCATGGGCAGCATTCCCCAGGGCCCTGTTTGCTGGCACGGCTGGAAATCACCAACTCTGGTCTTCCGGTTTGAAACCAAACTTGTCCTGGGGAGAGGCTGAGCCAGTGACTGTGGAACTTGTCCTGTCCCTCCTCCAGAGGGTCCCCAGCAGCTCTGGGGCAGGGCTGGGAACACCTGGGTGGGACTGCTGGCCCCAAACTCAGCCCTGTCCATGTCCCTGCAGGGGGAGGAGACGTCAAAATCGAGAACCAGAAGCTGAACTTCAAGGAGAAGGCCCAGGCCAAAGTGGGATCTCTGGACAACGTGGGACACTCGCCGGCCGGAGGAGCCGTCAAGGTGAGAGCAGGGACCTGGCACATCCAGGGAATGGCTTTGATCCAGTTCTCCTCCTGCTGCTCCTCAAGTGCAGCTCCTCCACCACAGCCAGTAACAGCCTCCTTGCTTCTGGGGCTCTGCTGTGCACCCCAGGGTGAGGCTGGAACCCAGGGTGAGGCTGGAACCCAGGGTAAGGATGGAATCCAGGGTGAGGATGGAACCCAGGGTGAGGATGGAATCCAGGGTGAGGATGGAATTGAGGATGAGGATGGAATCCAGGGTGAGGATGGAGCCCAGGGTGAGGATGGAGCCCAGGGTAAGGATGGAACCCAGGGTGAGGATGGAATCCAGGGTGAGGCTGGAACCCAGGGTGAGGATGGAATCCAGGGTGAGGATGGAATCCAGGGTGAGGATGGAGCCCAGGGTAAGGATGGAGCCCAGGGTGAGGATGGAACCCAGGGTAAGGATGGAGCCCAGGGTGAGGATGGAATTGAGGATGAGGATGGAACCCAGGGTAAGGATGGAGCCCAGGGTGAGGATGGCTGGAAAGGAGAGAGCTGGACCCTCCTCAGGGTGTGTGACCCTGCTGGGCATTCCCGAGGGCTGGCACTGCCCATGTCCATCCTTCCTCTTGGAACCTGAGAGCAGGGATCACTCCTGTTTGTGTGAGGATGAGAGCAGAGCACAGCTCTCCTGGTTCTGACCCGTCCCTTCTCCCAAGGGAACACAAACTGTGCCAGGTCTGCCTGCAGCAGTGGCACATCTGTGCTCAGGGAGGGGACATTCCCTTCCTGAGGGACCTGTGGGCACGGCACGTCCCCAGGGAGCTGGGAATTGTGCTGGAAGGGGCCTTAAGAGTCATCTCATCCCACCCCTGCCACGGCAGGGACACCTCCCACCATCCCAGGCTGCTCCAGCCCCAATGTCCAGCCTGGCCTTGGGCCCTGTCGGGGATCCAGGGACAGCCAGGGCTGCTCTGGGTGTCCCCAGCTCAGGATCCAGCATCAGCCCTCGGTCAGCACACCGGGAGTTGTCCTTGCCGTTCCCTGTGCAGCTGTTGCAGCTGTTCCAGCTGTGATTTGGAGAAGGGCTGAGCTCAGGGCTGTGTCAGACCCCGCAGGATTTGCAGGATCCCATGGCCCCGGTTGTTCCCGCAGGTGGAGGGCGGCTCGGAGCCGAACGGAGCGGGGCCGGGCCCGGGTGTGCTGCCCCAGAACGGAGTGGGGCCGGGCCCCAGCGACCAAAGGGAACCTCAGAGCCTCGACAGCCGCATCCAAGAAACAAGTGAGTGCCGGGGGGAGGGAGCCCGGCAGGCACCGCAGCCCCCGACCGCCGCTAGCGGCGGCTGCAGGGCTGTCGTGCCTTTCTTTTAATTCAGAAAATTGCCTTTTATCTTCCAGGCATCTAATGATGACATTATGGTATCGTCTTCCATTCCCCTCCTGCCCCTTGTCTCCTCCTCTCCCCGCGCCCCTGTCCCCTGCCCCTGTGTCGCTGCAGATTGAGTCTCACGAGCTGATCCGTGCGAAGGCCGAGGCTCGAACGGACCACGGAGCTGAAATCGTCTCCAAACCCCCCACCCCTTCCAGCAGCACCTGCCCCCGGCGTAGCACCAGCTCCAGCCTGGGCTCCGTGGCCTCCCCGGCACCGCCAGCAAGGCTTGTGACCCCCGCGCCCCCGGGGACCCAGCTTGGCTCTCTTAACCCGGCTCTGCCTTTAGGTGGGAAGGGGACGATGTGGGATGTTCGGGCCGGGGGTCCCGGGGGCTCCCCTCCCTCTCTCGGTGCCCCCGGGCAGGGCAGAGCCCCGCGGGTGAGGCTGAGGCCGGGCCGAGTTAACAGGGATAAGCTGCGATCTTTCTTTCTGGCTCTTCTTTTAACCCCTTCCCTCCTCGCCGCTTCAGTTTCTGCCGCCTGTGGGATGCTGATGAATCCCCTCCACACTCGTTAGGCTGTTTTAACTGTTGACTTGAACCTTTTATTCTTTGTGACGAAGTGTTGATGATGATTTATCGTGTTCGAACCCGTGCTAAGTTTCCTTTTCTCTTTCCTTCTTTTCCGACCCGTAGGAGAGTAGGGACATTTAACCGCTGCTGCCGTGCTGGCTTCTGACTGACATATCCAGCCCTTGTCACTTCTTTGTTGTTGTTTGGGGTTTTGTTTCTGCTTTTTTTTTAACGTTTTAAAACGATGGAGCGAGTTCATGGGATTAAGCCATGTCTGGAACGAAAGGCACAGGAATGTGTAAAGGGCAAACTTGCTGTGAGAGCTCAGGTGGAGCCTGTGTTGACCTCGAGATGTGGTAATTGATGCTCGAGATGAGTTAATTGATGCTCGAGATGAGTTAATTGATGCTCGAGATGTGTTAATTGATGCTCGGGAGCCGTCCCCGGGGTGCCTTCTGCAAAGGTGGTTTATTTATTAACGGCAGGGCCGGGCTCTGGCATCTCTCCGGTTTTTCAGGGTTTTTCCAGGGCCTGGAAAGGGAGCAGGAGGCTCGGGCCGGGAGTTCCGAGGCTGCAGCAGGTCCGTGGGGTGTGTGGGGTGTGTGGGGTGTGTGCTGCTGGGGGTGAGAGCCGGGATGAGCAGGGCAGGAGGCAGCGGGAGCTCATCCCAGAGGGACCCCGGAGCCCTCGGAGGGGCAGCAGGGCAGGCTCGGTGCCAGGGAGGTGCAGCTCTGACGAGGAAGGAGATTTAACCTCTCTTGGAGCTCCTCGTTTCAAATGACACTAAAGAAAACGAAGTGTAAATAAATTAAAGGAAAACAAAACAAAAGTGTTCTCGGGTGGTCAAAGTAATTTAAAGCAAAATAAAAAAAGCAAACAGAATAACAAAACACTGGGATCAAAGAGAACTGAACCAGGCGTGTGCTAAGGGGGGCAGCTCCAGGAGGGGACAGAGGGAAGCCTGCAGCTTCTCGTGCTTGTGGGAGTATTTCTTTGGGAAGCCGACAATGACACGATAACCCGGAATCTGTATTTACACACAAAGATTCTTATTGCACTTGTATTTTTTATATTAAAGTTTGCATGGTTTCTAATAAAATGGCATTAAAATGTACTAGTTTGAATCAAAGTCGTCTGGTAGTTTCATAAGTGCTTTTTCATCCGAATACAAATTTAAAGGAGCGATGCAGATTTGCACCTGAAAGGGGCGGTTATATATACCCAGAGACCTCCTGATGCTTCCCTTCCTCCTCCTCCTCTTCCTCTCCTTCCTCTCCCCTCCTCTCCACATCCCTGTGATCCCAGCCGGGGATCCGTGTCCCCCGTGTGTGTCCCTGTGTGTCCCCGGAGCTGCCACCGGCGCTGGAGCTCCCCGCAGCCCGCGCTGGTTCCCCGTGTCCCGGTATATATCACTGCCCTCCGTGACGCTTCCTTCTTTCTTCACTGCTAAATTCTACACGCCAGCTTCAGCTCGGCAGCCTTGGCTTTGCTTTGGTTGATTTTTTTTGGTTTTTTTCCAACGTTTGAATTGAGGGAAAAATTGAAGGAGAGGAGAGGAGCAGGGTGAGCCCCTGGGCAGGACGGTGAGCCCTGGTTCCCGGCTGTGAGCAGCCAGGGTGGCCTTGGCACGGGCTGGAGCCCAGCTCCAGGATCTCAGGGCAGGGAACAGAGCTTGTGCCGATGGGCAGAGCCAGAGATGGTCAGGGGCAGCCAAAGAGGAGGTGGAGGCTGAGATGTCGCGTTCCTCTTCCTGCTCCTCCTGGGGCACCCCGGACCTGTGGTGGCCTGGGACGCCCCGGGATGAGATTCCCTGGGATGAGATTCCCTGGGATGAAATTCCCTGGGATGCCCCAGGATGAGATTCCCTGGGATGCCCCGGGATGAGATTCCCCGGGATGAGATTCCCTGGGATGAGATTCCCTGGGATGCCCCAGGCTGAGATTCCCCAGGATGAAATTCCCTTAGATGAGATTCCCAAGGTGCCCAGGTGAGGCCCAGGGTGAAGGGACGCAGCTGGTCCCGGTCAGGGACTGCAGGAGGAAGGCAAATGGCAACACTGCACTTTATCTTCTGAGACTGCAAAAATCAAACGAGCCCTGCCCCGCTGCAGAGGGACAGCGACATCACCTTCCCCCTGCGTTGTTTTTCTCCCATTCCCGATTTCCCGAGCCCCGGCCGGGCGCTGTGGCTGTGCCCAGGCTGTCCCTGCCCAAAGCCCGGCCCAGCTGAGCCCCCGGCCTGTGCTTCTGTGCCACTTCTCTAACACTCGTTGTGCCTGTGTGTAGCTGATGAACTAAATCCAGATACACTAGTTCGCCGTGGTGTTTCTAGGACAGCTTCAGTTTTAATACGGATTTCTTTTTTAATTTTATTTTGAGGGCGGCTGTACATATTGCTAGGCTGGGAAGGAGCCGTGTGTGGTGGGAATGATTTCGTTTCCCGGCTGGAGAGGAGGGATGAGCTGGGTAATGCCGAGACCTCAAACGCCGCTGGGGGAAGGGGCTGGAGGCAGCAAATCCTGGGGGAAACGGGACTTGTGCTCCGAATGAGGTGCGAGTTGAATGTACGCGTTCCTGTCCCGAGGCTGGGGTCACTCTGGGCCGGGCAGGGCTGTGCTGGTGGCTCAGCGGAGGGGCTGGGCTGGCTGTGAGCTCCATCCAGGGCTGGCTGTGAGCTCCATCCCGGCCCGGCTGTGAGCTCCATCCCGGCCCGGCTGTGAGCTCCATCCCGGCCCGGCTGTGAGCTCCATCCCGGCCCGGCTGTGAGCTCCATCCCGGCCCGGCTGTGAGCTCCATCCCGGCCCGGCTGTGAGCTCCATCCCGGCCCGGCTGTGAGCTCCATCCCGGCCCGGCTGTGAGCTCCATCCCGGCCCGGCTGTGAGCTCCATCCCGGCCCGGCTGTGAGCTCCATCCCGGCCCGGCTGTGAGCTCCATCCCGGCCCGGCTGTGAGCTCCATCCCGGCCCGGCTGTGAGCTCCATCCCGGCTGGGCTGTGAGCTCCATCCCGGCCGGGCTATGAGCTCCATCCTGGGCTGGCTGTGAGCTCCATCCCGGCTGGGCTGGCTGTGAGCTCCATCCCGGCCCGGCCCGGCTGTGAGCTCCCTCCCCCGCTGGGTGTGAGGCCCATC